TGATATGCCAAAAAAGCGTTTCATCTGTGCCAAATTCTTTTGTCCTTTTCGTACTAAAAAAGAGGATATGCGAAAAAAGATGTTTTAAACATTAAATTCTTTTAAAATACTTTCATTAGCAAACTATGTTTTGTAAAAAACTGTTGCTCATATCTAAATATGTATGACAAGATCTCCAAATGAGGCTAATTTGGCATATTTTTTTTCTGTTTTGCACTAACTGCCAATATGTAAGACACAATTCGAAAATGTAAATACTGATGTCGAACAGACGTACATCTTATGAATATCTGATCGGATTACATTGTAGATGTTTAATTCTTTTTCATACCTTCTCCTTTTCATGTTATATTAGCAACAAATATACGATTAACCGGTGGAGATGGTCCATTCGAAGGCTTAGTAGAGGTTTACCATGACGGCAATTGGGGAACAATTTGTAAACATGGATTCGATGTAAATGATGCTACGGTAATTTGTACAGCTCTAGGATACAAGGAAAGGTATTATATTTTTTAATATACATTAGAGAACAAAAATTAAATCAATTGTTTATTCAGTGTGTTCTGTTATCATGTTCATTAGCTACAGTCAGAACCAGACTTGTAATCAAATATTAACAAACTTAAATGAAACTCAATAACAAATTCATTAATTTGGAGAAAAAAATCATCAATTTCAATAAAACCCTTGATAGTAATGCTTTGTCAAAATTATGATTAAATTTGACTTTTAACGAAGTTGTGAAATTGGTTTTTTTAAACGTGATAAAGGATTATGAAATTCAGATTTTCCACCTGTTTTATTTATTTTACATTCTATCTGTTATTCCTATCTTAATCAAAATTGTACTTGTATTGTATTTAATAATTAATTGACAATATTGTTATACCAGTTTACTACATATTCCACATACTAAAATTGTAGGGAAATTATTTGTCAGTGGATAATTCCATGGTTTAATCGATTTGATCGTTTCGTTTATTTGTATCAAGGAAAAGATTACGATATGAAGCAGACCTTCCACAAATCGCAAGTTCACTGTGATATATGAGATTAAAATGTGATTTATTAAGTGACATAACATCATCAATATAACAGATGTTAAGCATAAGCTTGTCACAAAAAAAGAGCAATGCACGATGGAGATACCTACATTACCTGAATTTTAAATGATTTCCGTCATCATTTATAACAGCCAATTTCAATAAAACCTATTTTTTTTTAAATTAGTGTTGCAGTACGGTGCTACTTCTCATCCTTAATGTCTTGTAGATTAATTAAGATTTGAGTTGATTGGGGTAGAGACCTGATTCTTATAAAGAGTTATCCATTTATTTTACTCTCTGAACTGGATAAGCAAAATAATAAATAGGATAATTGTTGTTAGCAATAAGTAAATTTACTTTTGTTCCAGTATCCCTACGGTTTTACCGATATCAAAGTTCAAATCAGGATTTGGACCAATCTGGATGGAAAACTTAATGTGTGGTGGAAAAGAAGTTGATATAGCGTTGTGCAAATTCAAAGGATGGGGGCAAGTTGGTCAATGTAATCATACAGAGGACGTTGCTTTAACATGCGGTACTAATTACAATCTCAATTAAATGCTTAAGTTTTCTATCAAATGATGTTTCAATTATTTAACGTATCTCTAATATATAGGACATTCAAAAATAACAACAATATTTCTTTTGCAATTATGTTGATGAAATGTACATACTGTTTTTCAAGAAATTATATTTTCAAGTCAAACGTCTATAGTTTCATGATGATTTGATATAAAGTTATATTTTCATCAAAAAGTGATTACTTTATATTCAGGAGCAGATATTAAGGTTAAAATCAATGGAGGAAAAGGCGATTTTGAAGGAGAAATAGAAATAACAAGTGATACGGACTGGTTTCCAGTATGTAAGGCAGATTTTTCAATGAGTACAGCAATGGTTGTTTGTTTACATTTTGGGTATCCTGCAAGGTAATTGTTTTTGTTTTTTACAGTAAGATTATTCAGCATAATTGTGTTATTTCCATAGTACTGATAGAATCTGTTAAATACAACACCAAATCCAAGCAACAAAATTGAACTTCTACTTATTATTTTTAAGAATCAAGCTTAACAAACTACACAACGACATAATGATAGTATTAGTTACATAGTGTGCTAGTGGCCTAATACGGTATATATGGGGTCAGTAAATTCCATATGGGGTGAGAGCGAAGCTCGAATCCCCATATGGAATTTACTGACCCCATATATACCGTATTAGGTCACTAGCACACTATGTAACGAATTTATCTTACCGACTATCTTAACGTGTGAAAGTTAGACTAGTGACCTATCAAATGAGCAAGTCTTCAATACTGTTAGCATTAAGAAACTACTTCCATTGATCCTACAAAAACAGATACCAACAATAACAACTTGTTAGGTTTAAATGTGTTTTATGAATTAATTTCAATCTTAATCATCACTTTCATCGTCTGTTGAAACCTTTACGATTTTTCTCAGTACCGTTTTATCTTTAAAAAGGGACGTAACACCACTACTAACCGTGTATGAAATAAGCCCCGCCTCCCTACTACCTTATAAGGAATATAAAGGGACGTAACACCACTACTAACCGTGTATGAGATAAGCCCCGCCTCCCTACTAACCTAATATGAAATATACACGGTCTCCACGAGAGCGCTTTTAACCAATCACATTCCTAGAAATGTATAGGAGGTAAGATAAGTACATATACATGTATATAGAGAAATTAATTTCATATAAAGTACATTGTGCATTAATTCGATACAGGATCCGTCAAGCATCTGCTCAGGACTAATCGACTTTACAGACGGATTGAGTGTCATGTGTAGACAGCATATGTTCTAGTATCTAATATATCGTTTATCACGTTTGCATGTTACATTTTTTTTTGGTAAATACCATTTGAATAGTGTCATACACAATTAAAAAAAAAATACATGATTCTGAATTAATTTAATCAGCAATTTTTATATCAGTTTTATATAAGAATAAAGCGATGTGATATGATTGACTATGGAACAACATTATAAACCAGAGACCTTTTATCTTTAAAAGGGAGAAAAGGACAAAATTTAGCGGCAGACGCCTGTAATAAACAAAGCCAGACTTCATTTGTCTGGAGCTTGAATTATTCATTACTAATTATAAAAAGAAGCGTAAATACTTAAGGGACAAACAAAATTAATAATTAAAAGTAAAACTAAGAAAACCATTACAAAAAACGAAAGAAAAAAAACAACGGTCTAACAAAACACTTATTCTATAAACTAAGCACTGGGCAACACGAACCCTATTTAGGCAGGAATATCTGAGGTTCTCTGACAAGGTAGGTAGATCATGCTCTACATGTGCACGTGACATCCGCATGATTTAATTTTGCATATGTTTAAATTTATATAAACTGAATAATTTTTATGATATACCAGCGAAGTTGATCCAACTGTGATGGAATTAAGCGAATTTGGAGAATATAACATTACGTCACATGCATACAAGGTTCAATGCACAGGTGGGGAGCTGGATGTAGCTCTGTGTAATGTCACTTTTCAACGCCAGTGCCCAAATGACGAGTATGCTGCTGTACGATGCCGTAAGTGTCTTATAATTATATATATATATCAGATATAAGAGATCAATTGTATGGTGAAGGGACGTATTACAAGGTAGATTATTTACGAAATAAGTGCAAGCCTGAATTACACAATAAATGTTAATTTGTATTACAATTGTTTTTGCCAGGATTAACAAAAAACTACTCCAGTGGATTATGATGAATACCTTTAGAATTCCTACTTTTATCACAAGTACAGTTGTATGATTAGTTAACCAATACAGTATTTTAGTGTCTAAACTGAAAATCTAATCTGACATGGATTGCACATGCCCATTTTGTCACAAGGACCAGTTTTCATATTCCTTTCTATGACGCTTATTTCTGAAACAATTTCAATAATGATGAATGGGAAGTAGGAAATAAGGAATGTAAGAGGACTGGAATTATCGCCCTTTAACTACGGTCTAGTGGTGAATAGCACTGACGAAAAAATCATAAAAAGTGTCTAGTTATAGAAGAGTAAGTCATTCGAACAATGTCCAACAACCAAAACATGATACCAGAACAGCAAAATGAAAGTAACAAGCAAGATTCAGATGGTAAACAATCAGAATCAGAAATTGATAAGTCTCAGTCCCATGGTAGTGACAATACTTCGGCGCCATCTTTCTCCAATGTTGTCAAACATCAAAGTGTCAATTATCAGGCCTATAGCGATCCTGAACCAATGCTAAAAGGAGTAAAACCTATCTTTATTAAAGAATCAGACTTCTTTGGCAACAAAACTCCGCCTAAAGAACTTTGGATAACACACGTAGAAAAAAACAAAGCACTTGAACATAAGATCAAACCACAGTTTGTAAGAGGCATTCAAAGAATAAAACAAATGTCGAGAATCTACCTGGACAGTGAGGTAGACAGAATGCTGTTGCTAAGAGAAGGCATCACATTAAGAAACAAGTCGGTATTCCCAGAACCCATATTACCAAAGAGGTGAGTACATAACAACAACAGTACGGGTAAAAAACATCCCACTATCAGCAGATGATGGTCCAATTGACAGTGAATTAAGACAAAGAAACATAGATGTCTTCACTTTAAACAGAGAAAGACTCAGGGTTGATAACTTGGTTACCAACTGCTGGACAGGAGACAGAGTAGTCATATGCAAAACAATTTACAAACCACTCCCAATGTTTCTTACAATAGGTCAATACACAACAAGAATATATCACTTAGGTCAAATGAAAGATACAGACATGTTCTGGTGCAACAAATGTCAATTGAAAGGTCATAAAATAAATAACTGTCCAAATGAATGGAAATGCAGATTATGCAATGAATATGGTCATAAGATGTTCGACTGCCTTACCTTTTTGGCAAAGAAGATGGGAAAAAATTATGAAACAGAAAGAGACGAGCATCAAGAAACAACAACAGCTAATGTTGATGAAAATACAAACACAGAAGAAAGACAACAAAATCAAGCTCTTACAGAAAATGACAAAAAAGATGATACTGATGAACAACCTGAACTAACAGATGGAAATGATGAAGACAACCTGACACATTATATGTCATTGAACAAAGAAATAACATGAGCAAATGCAAAAATAAGAAAAAAAGAAGGCAAAAAGTCTGCAAAAAAGGAAGGAAACAAAATTTCAAGTTATTCTTATAAACGACAGACATCAAAACCGACAGAAACAAAAAGAGATTCTTCATCAGCACAATCTGACATTTCAAAATGTGTAACCCCAAACAATAAAACAAATGCAGCTAATGAAAGAACGCCACCTACTCCCAATCAACCAGATGGGAAAAGACAATCAATGCATCTATAAATTATAGAAACATTTTATATATAACAAAAAAAAACAACAAAAACAAATATGTATGTTTATATGTCTTGTCTCTCCTTGTATTTATGTTTGTGTGTATTTAGTATTTATAGAAAGATAATTGAATGGAGCAAAGTTTCCAAAACAAATGTTACAAGAGTAAATATCAAAAAAAAGAAAAGTGAAAATTTGCACATATTGCATTATAACATATATTTTCATGTATATGCTACTATTAACAGAAGTATATTTGATAATACCAAAAACAAAAAATGACAGAGATAAAAACACTTATATTAGAAAAGTTAAACAGTCTTTTTTTCTATTTAAAACCCTGTAGGTTTAGAACTTTTATCTATAGTAGACATACTCAACAAGATCAAATCAAAAGTAAAAATTTACTCACCTTAACATGCTTAATAACTATTCTTAGTACATCCTTACAGCATAAATCTTTAAAGTAACTGAAAATAGAGAAAAGGAAAACATTATGCAAAAAGCAGATAAACAATGTAAAAATGTTATGAAAAACAAAATAAACAGATCTGCTTCATCAGAGTTTCAAATATTTGAAAATATAATCACATTACTAGCTGAGAAAATTAGAGACAGTATATATATATTTTTCTCAGTCAAAACCATACATTTGTTTTAACTAGTACAAAGCAAAAACATGTGTCAATTTGTATTTTTCATTAATAGTTCTGTGTATATGTGGTGTGATTTGTATTTCAAGTATGTAGTAATTGTGTATGATTATATATTATATGTTTCAAAATTATCATCTCAATATTGGACAAAACTCAATTGTGAAAGAGACTATAACAACATTGTTGCAATCCAATTACACAAAAGAAAATTGATAAACGTATTCATTTTCACAGGTAGCTCCCACGCTAAAAAACGACGATTAAATGTAGGTGAAATAAAGTGTACTTTAAAAACGCGACCCAAATATAAAGTACATTCACTGATTAAAAGTTAAATAAAAAGCAACTTATTTGTAATTAAAATATGTTAGATAACCTGCACGTTTATACAGCAAATGTTAAAGGACTTCGAAATAAACAAAAGAGATCGACATTTTACCAATGGATGCACAATCAAAAATGTAAAATATCTTTTATTCAAGAAACTCATTTCAATAGATCTATATATTAATCAATAAAAAAACTAGACTATAAACTAATAGATGAGCATAAAGATTCAGAAGGTCGAATAATCATGATAAATATCGAATTTGAAAATATAATCTATTCTCTTATAAATACATCTGCCCCAAATATAGAATCCGAACGAAATAGCTTTTACAAAAAATTAAATGACTTTATAAACAAAACTCAATAGGTACAATAATTTTAGGAGGAGACATGAATGATGCCCTTAAAAATGTAGATAGAACAAAATCAAATATTCGTAAAAAAGTAAGTAACCCAGTCAATAGCCAAAAACATTTAATAAAATCAAATGACTTAATAGATATATGGAGACACGTAAACCCCCAAAAGATCCAATATACATGGAGACGTAAAAATCCAGTCCAGTCTAGTCGAATTGACATGTTCCTAGTTAAAAAAGATTTCGTGTTAAACGTTAAGTCGTGTGATATTAGGCCTATTCTTATTAAAAGCACTGACCACCAAGCACTTTCCATACAATTACAATCTGTCTCAACGGAAACTGGAGGCCCGGAATACTGAAAAATTAATAACGGTATTCTCGACGAGCAAGAGTATGAATGCAATATAAGTAAAATAATACAAAACCATAGTAATAAGATAGAAAAAAAACGAAATAGATCCAAGACTTCTGTGGGACTCCTTCAAATTGGAAGTAAAGGAATACAGTATTAAGTATAGTAGAATTAATGCAAAAAATAGGAAAATGTAACACGTAATTTAGAATCATAACTTAAAATATCATACGAGAAATCAAATAAAGAGGAAAATGATTTTATAAAGAAAATATATCTACATTAGAAAAAGAGCAAGAAAACCAATATGAATACAAAGCTAAAGGAGCTCAAATTAGATCAAAATCAATACAAGAGTGGGTAGAAAAAGGAGAAAAAAATAAAGCGTATTTCCTAGGTCTTGAAAAATCTAGACAAACTAAAAAGACAATACTTAAAACTGAGAAACAATAATGGGGAAATAGTAACAGATCAAGATGAAATATTAAATCTTGAAAGTGATTTTTAAACTAATTTATACGACACTAAACAAAAACCGGATACAGATGTTCAAAAATACATTACTGAAACACAACTTAATTATAAATTATCAGAAGAAGAAAGTAAATAATGTGACGGATACGTAACGCTAGAAGAATTAACTATTGCGGTCAATAATCTAAAATTAAACAAAGTCCAGGAAGGGACGGGATAAGCATTAACTTTTATAAAAAAAAATTGGGGACTTATTGGACCTCTACTTGTAAACATTTTTAATTTTAGGTTTGAAAAAAAACAACTGCCATTTACGCAAAAAAAAAATTTTACTGAATCTAATTTATAAGAAAATTGATCCGTTGGAACTTGCAAATTACAGACCAAAATCATTATTAAATAGTGATTATAAAATACTCTCATACGCTTTAGCTTTAAGAATAAAAAAAATCCTAAATCTGATCATTAATTCTGATCAAACAGGATACATCAAGAACAGATTCATAGGTTTTAATCTACGCCAAATACAAGATGTAATAGATTACGCAGATAAGTTTAATATAGAAGGTGCTATTTTATTCATAGATTTTTCGAAAGCTTTCGACATATTAGAATGGAATTTTATGTATCATACTTTAGAATATTTTGGTTTTAATAAACCCTTCATAAATTGGATAAGAACCTTGTATACAAATATAAATAACTCTATATTTAATAACGGGTGGATATCTGCCCCTTTTGGACCCATTAGAGGTATCCGACAGGGAGGCACGTGCTCTTCTCTACTTTTCGTAATGTCAGTAGAAACAATGACTAACCAACTAAGGCAAAACAAAAATATAAGAGGCATAGAATTCAAAATTGATAGTTAAACACATAGCTTGAAAATCACGCAAGTTGCTGATGATACAACTCTATTCCTAAAATCGAAAGAAGAAATCCGAGCAGCATTAAATATAATCGAAATATTTGGAACTTTTTCCGGATTACAACTTAATAAAAATAAAACAGAAGGAATTTGGATTGGTAAACTCAAACATTGTAGGGATAAAGTAGATGAAATTAATTTCACGAATAAAACCGTAAAAGTGCTAGGAATATATTTTTGCATTAATAAAAAAGGTTGTGAAAAATTGAATTGAGATACTAGGTATGAAAAGAGTAGAAATCTAATTACATCGTGGAAAAAAAGAAACTTAACAATCTTAGGTAAAATTCTAATAGTTAAAACCTTCATTATACCTCAATTTAATTTTTTAGCGAACGTTACAGTTTTAAGTAACCCAAATATACTTGAACTAGAAAGATAAATCTTTAGTTTTATATGGGATGGTAAAAAAGAAAAAGTTTAAAAATATACATTGGTAGCAGATTACAACCAAGGAGGGCTAAATATGACCGACATCAAAAGCTACTTTTCCTCTCTTAAGATAAGATGGGTCTCTAGATTGCTACAGGCAAAACAAGAAAATTGGACATTGATCCCAAAGCTAATTTTAAATAAATTAGGGGAAAATTTCCTTATTTTTAGAATGAACTTAAATAACCAAACCTTAAAAATCTAGATATAACTAAGAATATTCCAGATTTTTACTAAAATATTATAAAAAGTTGGAATTCAATTCATCAAACGAAAAACACAGAATTGAAAAACTTTGTCGAAAGCAAGTTATCTGGGGTAATAAATTTGTCAAATTTCAAAATAAGCCGCTTATTATGCATAATTGGATACACAGCGATTTCAAAATTCTTAATGATATTATTGACGACAATGGAAAAATTGCCCACGAAAAAATATTTAAAAAACTGCAAAAACACTAAAAATTGGATTTCAGAAATTTCGATAGTCAAAAACGCAATACCAACCTCATGGCTAAAAGTTTTAGCTACGACAGAATCTATCAAATCAAATGTAAATTTAAACAGATTATTTATTAATATAAATAAAAGCAACAGTAGTATACCGGTGTTTAAAAGTCATAAATCGATTTAGAGAAAACAAATCCGGGTTACAAACCAAAATCGAGGGAATCACATTAACTATAAGAGGAAAATAAATGAACAACAGGAACACCGAAGTGCAACAAAAACAAACGCGAACACACATAGAAATGAACTATTTGATAACAACTGCCATATTCCTGACTTGGTACAGGATATTTTAAGAAAACATGGTGGGTTGAACCTGGTTTCATGGCATGCCAAACCTCCCGCTACATGACAATGTTAAAAAAATATCGCTAAAACACTACGTGACAGAAATACAGCACAAACACACGCAAGAACATTCATAACAGAGAAACGCACAAACAATTAATATAAAAGTCGACACAACATACAAACCACAGAACAACAACGAACATATTCTCCATCAACGAAAAACACCACAGAATATCAAAAACAGTTACGCGCTTACGTAACTAACATGCAATCTGGAACTTTATACAATTATTTTCGCAATATTGGTCCAATCAATTTTCATGCCAATAATGGTATTGAAAAGCAATTTATAATTATTTTGACTACAAACGATAAGACATAACAGATTATCCAACCTAAACCATAACAGAAACAACAAAATAAATCCATTAAT